AAAGAGTTCTACTGCAAGAAACGTCAAAAAGGGTCTTCATTAAAATGCCAAATAGGGATCCAAGAATTCACATCAAGCTCCTGAACATAAATCATAAAAAGATTAATATGTTAGAAAGTTCTCAGTTAAAAAGGAAAAATGACAAATTTTACACCAAAAAGCACAAGAAAATGCATATATCTTACCAAAATACCAAAAAAAGATAGTTTGACAAGAATGCATATGTGTAGCTAGTTCGAGTACAACTTTACAAGAACGCATTCGTGAATCTGCAAAGAGAATAAAAAATCATTTCAAGGTAAAAAGCAGATCAATGTAAATAAATATACTACTCTCACATTTTCGCTCTCTTGTTGTGGCTCTTCATTAGGTAAGTTGTACTCTTTCATGAGCCAGGTGATGGCATTCGGATTTGGATTTTTCGGGGCAAATTTGAATGATTTTATAGTTCCTACGACCCGATTATCATTGTCCTTGTCCTTGACATGATTTACATATCCACTTATACGACACCATGATCCACCCCCTTCCCCATAAACTTTTCGAACAGCTTTTTGTCGACAAAGGCGCCGCACTGGGGTGAAAAAGAATAGTACACCCGGCACTCCGTGAACATAATTGTCTGCAAATAAAAAGCAGAGAAAAGAAAGATACTAAATTACATTGATCCTATATAAAATTTCATTTAGTTATCGTTTTAAGTACATTAATGTCCAATAAGAAGTAACTCAATAATTATTATCTCAACATACAATTTGGTCAAATTAACCCAGAAAAAGAAAAGTAAATCAAACTTAACAGACTATACTACGCAACAGCTTGTTCAAATTTTTGCTACTAAAACTACAAAATCCCATTATATATGCACTTTATCAAACACTAAATGAAGACAGAAAATGTAACTCAAATATGGTTCACACTTCACATGAAAATTCATTGACAGGATCTGCAGTTGGTGCACAAATATATGGAACTAATTCAATCAACTTGCTATCTACGTTATATTGAAATATAGTTTCACCTATTCTGAAAAGCACGATAGACTACGCTAAATTGTTTCAAATACATTAATATCATAATATAAGGAGTAACTCAAGAATTGTTGTCACCTGCCATGTATTGTGGAGAATGATCATAGAAGTTGATTTCATGGATAATATTCTCCTCAAGAGGCTCATTTCTAAGCCTCCTAATCAAGAAATTTGTTATTAATCGGACATCTTGAGGGTTAAAGTTTATGAGTGCCATGGGAGGATTCTCCATGTTTTGAGCCTCCTCAACCATGAGAGGGTTCTCAGGCAGAGGGATTCCTAGAGGGTTCCCCACATTTTCATTCTCCCCAACCCCCACATTTCCAACAACCTCTACCATGGGAGGGTTCCCCACATTTTCATCCTCCTCAACCTCCACGTTTCCAACAACATCTACCATGGGAGGGATGAGAGGGTTCCCCACATTTTCAGTCTCCTCAACCTCCACATTTTCAGTCTCCTCAACTTCCACATTTCCAATAACCTCTACCATGGGAGGGATAAGAGGGTTCACCACGTTTTCAGCCTCCCCAACCCCTACATTTTCAACAACCTCTGCCATGGGAAGGTTGAGAGGGTTCTCCACATTTTCCATCAAAAGATTCTGGGACAGAAATGTATCTTCAGCAACAACTGTGGGGGAGCTTCTCAACATTTCCCATATAGTGTTAAATATGGTACCATTGCCTCCAGGATTATTCAAATTGGAAGCTTCATTCAGATTTGATGGTTGCCCAAAACCAGACCCATCCATGAAATTGTTTGGAGGGTTGGCTTGACTGGGATTTGGAGCTTGGTTGGGATTTGGAATATTATCATTGAAACCGGACATTCCCATAAAATTGTTTGGAGGGTTGGTTTGGTTCGGATTTGAAAGATTAACACCGTTGTACAATGGATTTGGTATCAACAAATAGGGACTGTTGACTACCAAATTCCATACAATTCCAACTCCAGTGTTTCCCGAATTCTCCATTTTCCAGACCAATTTTGGTTTGAAGTGTTGAAGATGAAGAATAAATGGAGAAAAAGAAGAGGAATACTGGCCAGAAAATGAAGAAGAAAATGAAAATAATGTAAAGTTCCATTGAAAAAGGAAAACAGAAGAATAGAAACGAAAACGGGAACTTTGACATGCGAAATGTAATTGACACACAGAAGCTGAAAAAGGAAAGGAGAAAAAGAAGAGTTTACGTTGAAAAAGAAAACGAAAAGAAAGGTGCACACGTGTATTTGGGTTGTGACTACCTTATCCATCTAAACTAAAAGGCTCCACAATAAATCAATAAATCTGGGCTCAACTGGACTGCATATGGGCAAAGCCCATGGCTTGCATAGCCCATTTCTATCTGAATTCAGGATTTCAACAGTGATCAACTTCAGATCGATAATGAAATGGGAAAATTAGGCCCACTCTGAAAAAAATACATTTTTGATTAATACCCTTCAAACNTTCCAAACCTCAAAATACAGAAAACCAAATCAGGAGGAGGAAGCCCGTTACTGAAACTTTGGTTTTTGGGTGTTTGAGGTGGTGGGCTCTTGTTAGAGATGCAATGGCGAGTTGGTTGAGCTTTTGCCATGGGTTGCTGAGTCGGTTTTCCACCATTTTTGCACAATTCTCACATCTATACTGTACCTTCATTCTCTCCCAAAAAAAAAAAATTATGGAAGAAGACCTAGAAAATCACACTACCCCCTCCGCTTCTGTCTCGAAGGACCCCCTAAACATCACCTCCACCACCACCTCTCTAGAATTTTCCGATGACATTGACATGTAAATTGCTTCTCCTTAAAGTAATTTCTATTATTATATTTAAAGGGTTAAATATCTTAGATACTTCGGAAAGTTTTACATAGAGTTGGACAAAACTTTCGAATCGGATTCGAACTGAATCGAGCGACTCTTCTTCTTGTTAAATGCCCGAACGGGTGTCTCAATCAAAAACCGACGGGTTCGGTTCGGCTCTCGATTCTATACCATAAACTAATATTTTGAAATTATATGGGTACGAAGAAATAATTATTTATTTCTCAGCTTGGAGAAATGTCCGAAACTTGAAGTGAGACGTGTTTACATGAGGGCACGTTGATTTAATGGAGATTCAATTGCTTTAATTGGACTCACTGTGGAAATATAGTGAACGGTTGATTTAGAGCCCGTTTGGTAGAAATTAAAATCGGATTAAAATTAACAAACTAACCGTTATTGTTGATTTTTATTAGACGAGTGGGGCCCAATAACGGTTATATTTTCAATTTTAATTAGATTTTAATCGGTACCAAACGAACCCTTACTAACTTGCTACCAGGACAATATGTTGGAGACCAATGCTCCAATTTTCCCTTTATTTTTATTTTGCTTAAATGTGTGTACAATAGCATATATCTTAAGAGTCCAAAATATTAGTAAAATCTCTTTCTTTGTTGATATTCGGTATTAATATATAGGCCAGACCCTGGCCCAATGCAAACTAGGCCATTACCTTGGGCCTCAAGATCTGAAGGGCATTAAAAAAAAAAAAATCAATAGTCTAATAAAAGTTTTCCTTTATAATTCTTTGAGGGTAGTTATTTAATCTTTTAAAAAGCAAAAACAAAATAAAATTAAAGGACTGAAATGTCCCAATTTTATCCTCTCCAAAAGAAGAATTTCATCCGAGTTCCCAATTTTATCCTCTCCAAACATGTTTAAAGGACTGAAATGTCCCTTCCAAATAAATGAGTCAAATTAACCTCTTTTGTCTTACATTAAAAAGCAGCAATAAATTTGATTTGAAGGTTGCTTTCTCAACATTGCATTAAAACATAAAAATGGACCCACATTCCCACACCAAAGAATCAATTTTTTTTTTTAGAAGAACAGATTTTGCACCATTTTGGTTCACACTATTCATTTTGCACCAAATAACAAAATGGTGCAAAGTCCAATTTACCCGCTTTTTTCATTTGTCAAAAGAATTGTTGGAGGGTACACTACGCCAAAAAATGC